TAAACCTTTAATTGATGTAATTAATTTAGTTTTAATTAATAAGGGGCAAAATGGAAAGAGTGATTGAAAAAGATTAATTAACCTATTAATCTACTTAAGTATTTTTTTGACCAATTTTTCAGTCATATCATTTTTTGAAATTTTTTCAATTACTTATTTATCATATTAACTTGATAAATTCTTATTATATTTTAATAATAATTCATTCTTCTTCATAATATTTTCTAATTTAAATTTACTTTGATTTGCTATCCCATGTAATTAAATACTCTCCATCCTCACTCATTACTCCAAATAATAAAGGTGTTTCAAAATGAATAGATTAATCAGTAACAAACTCTCCGTTTTATTTTTTCCTTATAAAATTGACATATTCACCACTCTTACTCATAAGCATGCTTTTTTAATTTATATATTACTAAGGAAATAAACTATTACTATCTGATCCGCATTTAACAGAGATATCTTTAATTTTACTAAACTATTTATTTATACTGTTCATCTCAAAAATAGACATCTAATCTTTACCTAAAGGTTAGAATGTGAACATATAATTATCGATAAAACATATTCTAAATCCATATTATTCAAATGTAATCTTTTATATTACAATCCATTCTTTATTCTATTATGATTGCTCCATTATTAATATCATATTATCTGCACCACAAGATATAACTCTGTTTTATAATTAATTTAAACTTAATCCAAATACATAACTAAAATGATCTGTAATTGTTTATTGACACAACCATTCATTCTTTTTCATCCAAAATTTAATAGTTTTATCACAACTACCTGATATAATTGTATCATCATTATTATTTAATATCAAACAAAGAATATAATCATTGTGTCCAATTAATCTAAATTAGGAAATCCATTAACTATTTTAATTATTTTACCATATTATAATTAATTTATAACTCCCTGATATAAACTAATTCTACTTTTTCATGAAGTTTAAAGTATAGACATAACTATTATGTTCATTTAATATTTAAATTTGTTTCAGCATTCCTTGCTTAAATTCAAATACTTTAATTTATGAGTTACATCCAGCCACTAATGTTGAACAATCTTTATTAATAGCTATTGCATAACAATATTCATTTTATTAAACTGAATATTACACCATTAGACAAAAGTTGGATGCATTCAATTGAGTTTTATTTATCTTTTGATTTATAACTGGAATAGAAAATTTCTCCACTCGAGAAATTCTATTCCTCCTTTTAAACTAATCATTATTCTTATCTGGAGTTAAAAAAATTTTTAATTATTTTTGACTCCTTTTGAAAACTTCTTCAAATTCTTATTCTAATTACTTATTTATTGCATTCCAATTACTAAAGCCATTTATCAAATCATTTTAATTGAAGTTTAAATTTTTCTGGTTACTTATTTTTTAAGCAATTTCTTCAAGTTTTTCATAGGAATGCATAATTTAATCAAATTATAACATTTCTTAATCACTTTGACTGTTAGAGCTTAATACATTGTTTATTTTTGCCTAAATTGTATTGATAGAGTTAGTTATTTGCAATAAAATACCTGAAAACATTTCATTTAATTCTTCGGCTTCTATCTATTTTATTTCCAATAATTAGCTTTTATAGTCTTATTTTTAAACTACGTAATTGTAATATTCTTCCTCAAATTCTTGCAATGTAACATATTGTCCTGGATAGTTACTAATGCATTATACACAAACTAATCGATTAGAAGCTGACTTCTTCTCATTTATATCAATCTTAACAATTTATTATCCAATATGTGTTTTGCATTCAAGTTTCATTTGTTTCGAAGAGTCTTTAGAGAAAAGTTAGGCTTGAAATTAACTAAAGGCTTCCTTTTTACAATTTAATTGTCCCACTGTTAAATTATCAAAAACTTCCTAAATATATTTTATCAATTAAACTTTTTAAATCATAGCTATATTTTTCAAAAGCAATTCTCTGATATCTTAATAATTTGTAAAGTTTTTTTAAAATTTCCTTATACTAATTAACAAAGTGATCAATATCAGTTATTATTAAATTTTGAACCTACTATTTAAATTGATTTTCAGAATTATTGATTATTTTCATCAATTCATTTCATTAATCGATTTATTTATTTAATGAGATTTCCATATATTGTTATATTTAAAAGATATTCTATTTGACATCTTTAAGTAAATTTATATTTTATTTATAAAAAGCTTCTTTGTTACTAATTAATTTATCCTTCAATTTATTTAGTTTTTCCGAAACATATTCTTTTGGATCTAAATTGCTTTTTAGATCTGTGATGCATGAGAGGCACATTGATTTTAACTGAAGATCAAATTGAGATTTGTCAAAAAATATAACTCTTTGTGCATGTTTGGAGCAAATTTTATTTTCCATTAGAATTATTAATAAAAATGGATTTTAAATAAAGAAAATAATTATCATAATTATAATAATTTGATCATACTACAAATTTTCACCAATGTTTTCTAAAATTATGAGCTAAAGGATGGAATTCAATAATTAGATATTACAATTTATTTAATTTTCCATAATTAACTTTTAATTTTATAGTAAAAGTTCACATACATATAATCTTTTGTATCCTCAATTAAAAAATAAAATAAAAATTATTAAAGGAGGGTAAGGACTATAATGCTGGATTTTAATTTCTAAAGATAAAAATTGTACTTCCTTTATACCTTAAAAATCTACTAATTCTTAATATTCTAATAAACCAAAAGTTTACGAACATAAACTGGATAAATATCTATGAGATTGTATCAAGTATTTATAATGTTCAGAATATCCCCTCTCCAAATGCAAATGCAGATATTTCTTACAATTTTGAGGGGATAGACTGCCAGAAATTAATAACAAATTCTATAGAACAAAATTCTTCAGATTCATTTAATAAAGTTGTTAAGTTTTTGATGCTTTTAAAAACGGAACCATTATAGATTTCTTTGAAAGTAGCTGACAAAACATATTTAAATGAATTTTGTAAAAAAGGATTTATTAAAGCCAATTTAAAAGCTTTTGGATAATTTTTTAATTAGAAGTGAAAGAGTTGATGCATTTGAAGATTTATCCGTAACATCGAGATAACTATTTCCTTATCAAAAGATTATAAATTGATCAATTAACGATGGAGGATTTTCTACAAATAGATCAGAAACCCTTCCTAAATCATAATATCAATAAAATTATTTAGATAAATTTGATTTTGTTGCATTTATATCATTAAGTTTGCAAGATCTATATAATAATTTTATTTCAAATGAATAAGGTGATGAACGAGATATTGACATTAAAAAAGTGTACATGTTTTTTTAGAATATAGTCTCGTAAAGATTAAAGCTTATCAAACTTTATTGATAGGATCTAATATACCTACTAAAAAGAAACAAAGAAGAGATTCATATTGAACAATTTTAAATTTAGATTAGAAACTTATTATCTACTTAAAAATAATTTATATTAATATTTATTTTATTTTTAAATAGATATATTAGTGTTGGAAGATTATGCTAATTAAAAAAATTCTATTAGGAGTTTTTGGTCTACATTTTCTGTATTTATTCCTCTCTATGTCCCTATAATTTGTAGGTTTTCATTCAGGAAGTTTCTAGTAAGAAGAGAGGAGAAAATGATTAACTTTGAGCCATAACACAATAAGAGATTTTAAAAAGAAATATCCAGATTATTGATTCTCACTTGAATTTTAAATAATAAATCTTCGTTTTGGAGTTAGTATATATTAAGTTCACATGGCAGAAGAGAATGGCCTAGCATTATATATTTGGTTTAACATAATTAACATATAATTATATTTCTAACAAGATAGTAAAAAGGAAGGGTATTCAAAAAATGAATAATTTTGATATTTTTTTTATTTAAGTGATTCAAATTAGAAGATCTGAATAGTTTTGAATATATAAATTTAAATAGATGCGGTCATAAACTAAAATTCACATTTTAATCACATTTAAAATAAATAAAATATAGATAACATTTATTGGTCTTCATTTTTTATTTCATTTTATTGCTTCTAAATTAAAATTAGTGATTAGGAATGAATCTTGAATTGTGCATCTAAAAATTTTGTACCAGACAATTTTGATAATTCTGATTATTTTTCTGTCATATTAATATGGTCTTCAATAAATCAATCTCTTATTATTTAGACAAAGTTAGTTAATTTAAACTTTTCAAACATTTTGTGTTTTCAAAATAAATATTCAAATGCTTATTAACTAATTAATTAGGATATACTTTAAAACTTATCAAAATCTACTAATTAAATCTTCCATTTCCCAACTTCTAATTAGTTTAATATCCCCTTTCTCAGTTTCATAATACTATAATAATCAAAAAGTATTTATATTTGAATTAAATAATTTAATAAATTTTACTAACATCCTCTTTTTGTTGCGTTCCACTCCATTCATTATGATCAGGAAGAGATGTATTATTCTCAATTTCATTCTTTGTTTGTGGTCTTTAGTTTCTCTTTTGAATAATCTAAGTTAAAAATAAGTTAATTATTTGTTAATATATATTTCAAATTCCATTATTTAATATTTATATATTAGTAATCTTACAGTTTTTTTAATACATCCACATTTATTTCTCTTGAATCTGTATATCAGTGATTTCTTATTGCAAGCACATAAAAAATGAATTACAGCATTGGCTTTAAATGCTAACCAAAATCAAAATTGAAGATTTTTTAATTGGGTCAAAAATTTATTTATTAATAGTATCTGTTATGAGAAATTTATATAACCAGAAACCATGATTATCAAAAAATGTGAGAATATTGATCCAGTTTTGAAAATAAGGCTTGATTGATAAATATTCAAAGAATCAATTGAAATTTACCTTAATACAAAAGAAGGAGATTTATAACAAACAAATAAATTTCTTCATTTTATATGAGAAGACTTTTATGATTTAAAATTTGATCTATTACATTAGATTGAGGATTACAAAATATTTTGTTAAGGCGAATTAGCTTCAAACAAGCTTTTTCTGATTACCAAAAAAGAAAATTCAACATTATAAAATTATTATTTTTATTATGAAATAAATTAAAATGATTATTAATTAGAAAAATAATTCATTTTTTTTATTTTTAATAAAATTATTAAATATAATTCAAATTGAATTATATTTTTTAATATCGACTAAAAATTAAATAAATTATATTTATTCTCTTTCACGGATTAATTCAATGATTTAAAAAAAAATTTTGATCAAGTTAATTTAAATAATTTAAATAAAGCAGGTCACTAAAAAGTAATTAGAGACAAAAATTGATAATGTATTTGAGCTTTTTTATGTTGCATATTCCAATTCTTTATAATAAGCTATATTACTTACTATATTAAAAAGTTCTGAAATGTGAATTAAAATATTATATCCATAAATGAGAAATTATTGAAAAAAATTAAAATTTAAGTGGATTTTATATTTATAATTTTACACAAAAAGTAAAAAGACTTTCAGAAGCTCCATTATTGGATGTTATTGCAAGAAAAGTTAAAGCTTGCAACAAATTTTTGGAATCGGTTATCCTATCACGCACTATAGTGACTATTACTATAGTGAATATGTACTTCCATTCTATGTACATTACTGTAAAATCACTCTTTAACAAGATAATTATTCACAATTTTAAATATTTGATTCATAGAATTATATACTACTTCAATCAAATGCAATAATGAGTAGAACTGGATAATTTTGATCATTCAATTCAAATAAAAATAATTTACGTTA